AGTAAACAAGGTTTGCCAAAGGTGTGTTTGAACTGCTAATAACTAGAAGTGTTAGATCAAAGAGTCATTTAATATGGAGACATAAGCCTTGGAAATGAAGAGGAGGAACAGAGTTATACAAGGGAAAGCTTAGTGCTGTTTTCAGAGGAATTACAATGAATTTATTAATTTCAGAAAACACACTGTATTCCTGTTTAAAATGACCTGCCACACATACCACTAATGCTCTATGCCCTTGTGTTATAAAGCAGGTAACGATGAGCTTCCATGTGGCACTATGCAACAGGAGGTAAGACAGAGGAGATTAACCTTAGACGACGGGGATACTACTTTAAACAAATTTCTTAATTTCTTCATTCATGAGGTCCCTTCATGAGAGCAGCACTTCGTAAGATTTTTGTGAGACTGAAGAACCTAATACATTTTTTAAACCCCCAGACTTGTGCTTGGCTCCAAGTAAATACTACATAAATATCAGCTGCTGCTGCTGCAGCTACTTCTTACCATCAGTTAGCAACAGGGAAAAACAAAGAAAACAGAGAGAGCAGAGTCCCAAAGCCACCGCCCAAAAAAGAAACCCTTAGAGAAGGCATCTTTTACTAAGGAAGTTAGTTTTCGTTTCCTTGAAGTGTCCAATTTCTTTGGAGAAAGTGGTGCAACAGAGTCCTGTGAGTTTTGTTATTAGAACTGAGACAAGGCCATCTCTGCCGTCTGTACCTCTGTGGAGTGTGGGCGAGCAGAAGAGTGGCGAAGGCAATGAGCTGGAGAGCCACCAAGAACAACATTAGCATCTAAATTGTGGCACTGTGCTCTGGAAAACTGGAATACAAGCTCCTGGAAGATTGTCTTGCCAGGAAAATCTCCTTTAAAACAGAGGCCAGAGCCAACATGAAGACATCACCAGAAACAATTCTATTAACAAATGGGACAGAAGAGAGAAACATCACCAGTCTCTCTTACAGCAAGCTTCATATCTGTAGGGGACTCCAAACAAAACTTATTTTTCAGTATTCTAAAATGTGTTATGGGGGGCTGGAGAGATGGCTCACACTGGCTACTCTTCCAGAGGACCTGGGTTCAATTCCCAGCACCCACATGGCAGCACACAATTGTCTATAACTCCAGTTCCAGGGAATCTGACCAATACACATAAAATAAATAAGTTAAATACATTTTTTAAAAATGTGTTATGTTCAGAAATATTAATGAAATGCCTTGAAACAAGTCCAGACAGCAAAAGACTAGATGAATATCTGCTACGTCAAGCTCTAGTTCACCAACTAATTCATTTCCAAATGAACTAAAACAGTTAATAACTTATTTCTGGGGGCTGGTGAGATGGGTCAGTAACTAAAAGCTCTTGCTGCTCTTTCAGGATTCAAGTTCAGTTCCCAGCAGCCAGGTCAGGTGACTGACAGTCATTATTCCAGCTGCAGGGGAAAAAAATCAGCCTCTTCTAGCCTCTATAGGCACCCAAATACACACCTATACACTCACACAAAGAGAAATCCATTTTTAATCTTATTTCTGACAATACATATGATACTTATGAAAGATTTTAAGTTCTCTATGAAAAGAGTGAGAATCAAGTCAAATATTTTAACATGAAGATTAAAGACACATTTTCTATATGATAAAATAAGCCATCAAAAGAATAAAGTGATGCTCTGAACAACCCTTTACAAAGAATACTTCAACTAATCTCCTAATATCTACTCTTTGCAATTATTATTAGGCCAATCACAATACCCCCACGATAGCCCTCTATCTCGACAGGGTCAATGATGTCCTCCTAAGCAATGGTCATACCCACGGCAACTCTAGACACTGAGGCTCAAGAAGACATTTTCTGAGAAAATTTCTGGCTCTAAAGAAAGTCATGAAAAGCCAAGGCTTCTCCTCCTGCACCTGCAGTCATATTCAAGAAAGCAGGCTTCCAAGGTCTAGAGATAGCCATCTTGAAACCACAAGATATCTAAGCCTTTGAATGACAGGATCTGTAATTTCATAATAAGAGCTGATGACTCACCCAACGGCATTCCTCTTACAAGGACTCTCAAGTGTCCTTTCAGTCTTAGGGCCAGTTTTACATTTGTAAAAGCATCCTAATTTACAGGGCTTGCTCTCCAAGTCCATCACAGAGATAGAACAGACCCCAGACAAGCCAAAATCCAACCCAGAGTCTATCACAGTAACAGGAACATACCCCAGACAAGCCAAAATCCAACCCAGAGTCTATCAGAGTGATAGAACAGACCCCAGACAAGCCAAAATCCAACCCAGAGTCTATCACAGTGACAGGAACATACCCCAGACAAGCCAAAATCCAACCCAATCTTGTTAAAACAAACAAATTGACAGTTACAAAGAAATACTCTAATACTTTTCAAAGAACTTCCACATAGTTTCCTTTTAATATTTAGCAATGAAAGAGGTAATTAATAAGATGTTATAGAAACATCAAGCAATTTGGCATAAAATTTTACTTTTAGAGTTCAGTTGTAGGAACTAAGACTTCTTAGGCACAAAAGTTTATAACTACATGGGACTTAAATTATTCATCATGTTTAAATGATTTAAAGCATCACTGAAGGAAGAAAATGTAATGTTTTTGATGTGGTTGAATTTAAGCCAGATGGAGTGGCACACCCCAATCCCAGCACTCTAGAAGCTAAAGTATGAAGACCACAAGTCTGAGGCGGCCTGAGCTGCAGTAGTGAGGGAAAAAAAAAATTAATTCTTTAGAGTTTGGTGCCAGGCAGTAAGCGAGAGGGGACACTCTAAAGCTGACCCTCCAGCTCAGTGGTTCAGACTTTCATAGACTGAACACGTGGTACTAAGTTCAATCCCCAACACTGTCCAAATTGGTGGGGGGCACAAAAGAAAACCTTGATGTGTTGACAATTCTCTGAGCCAGGGAGATGGTTCAGTGGGTAAAGTGCATGCTTCACAAATGTTAAGACCTAAGTTCGGATCCCCAGGACCCAAATTCAGTGAAGTAGTACACGTATGTAATCCCAGCACCAAGGGGAGATAGGAGGGAAACAGGGAAGTCCCCAGAACTCAAGGTCCAGCTAGCCTGGTTTGCACAGTAGCTGTGAACAACAAAGAAACCCTGTCTCAAACAAGGTAGAAGGTAATGGCCAACACTTGAAATTCTCATCTGACCTCTACATAGACACCATGGCATGGGTGTACCGGCACTCACACATAGGAACACAGACGCGCGCGTGCGCGCACACACACACACACACACACACACACACACACACACACACACACACACACAAATATGCACATGCATCACATACACAAAGAATGGACTGACCAGCTTGAAGAGAAGCCAGAATTGTTTATCTTGTCCACTTATGGTATTTCCAACTTTGCCAGACTAAAGTGCTAAAACACAAGTGAAGATATCTCTGGAGAGCAGTTTGATTTTACAGCCGCAGCAAGGTGAGATGGCAATAAAAGCTAGTAACAGCTGGTCACTGGACTAACCAGTCACAGAAAGCAGAGGGGCAAAGCGGGGAAGCAAGGACCAAACCACAGAGCCCTTACATGAATGTCACAGATTAACACGTGCACAGACCAGTTGTTCCATGAAGTACTTTTATACTTTTATAAAATGGCTTTGCGACCTGAGGAACACTCGTTTAAAATGAAAAAGCTCCCATGCTTCCCAAAAGAATGTATCCTGTTGTATAACACATCAGATGAGCACCACTTCACGCACCTTAGGTTAACCTTAGGTTAACAGTGTGGTGGCTCTTTTAAGGTTAACGCATACCATAAATATACTATCGATATAAGTGGAGTCTGAAACACTAATGTTCGTGTGTGTGTGTGTGTGTGTGTGTGTGTTCAGCATAACATGCCCAAGCTGCACAGAGGATATGGACATCCCTGGGGAGTACACAAATGAACAAACTCTACCACACAGAGGACAACGACGACGATGATTTCTCTAATGGGAAGAGGTTACTTAGAACCTTGGGATTTCTTCTTGCTAACTGGCAAACTTGATCAGAGCTGTACTTCCAGCAGACCAGAAACGAAGCACACAGAAGCTCTGGAGCCAAGAATGTGTGTGATTTCCTACCTAAAATTAGCCATGCCTATTTCACCACAGCTGGGCTGGACGCCTCTATTTTAAGGTGTGCAGCGCCAAATGACTTAAGAGTATGTAATTGCTGACTAATCTTAGGACTAAGAGTGTCAGAGACTTCCCAACCCAGGCTTCAGGATGGCCAACTGGTCTCCACAAAACCCCACACTTAATGGCCTTGCCATCTAGGGGCTAAGTATACTGCTAATGAGCCACGTACTAAAAACATGCGTGAAGATATAGCATGCATAAAATAAGCAAAAAGAGATGTTCCTTCGCCTTTGACTGATACTCTGCTCCCAAATACACACATAATATAGAAAGGTGATTAAAAAAAAATGGACAAAAGTCACAATACTTTAAAGAGTAAGTATTTGTTTTTCTGGAAAACTGTATAGAACCCACAACCAAAACCTTCCAAGTTATGTCACACACGTTTACTTCCCCAAGTTCTGTGCAACTGGAATAAATCCAACAGAAGGAGCGACTCAGCCTACACAGTGCATTCCAGAAACATCAGAAGGGACTGGGGAAGGCCCCGTTAGTACCAGCAGGAGAATTTACAGTATTTTTTTTTTTTAAGGAGCTGACTTTTCCAACACAGATGAAAGAAAATGAAAAGGCATGCCTTCTTACTATGAACAAGGGCAGTTTTGTCAACAGGGAGCAAAACTGAGCTGTAAGTTGAAATCCAAGCTGCACAGATAACAACCCTGATTCCTACAAGCTCAGAGCAAAGACCTCGCATCTATTTTATTACTAGCAATTTGAGATCCTGGAACAGACACCTGGTACTATCAGGTTCCTGACAGAATCATGCTCCAGCAGAACACAGTATTAACACTTGTTTTGACATACTCGATTACATTAGGAAGTAAAAGAACACACATACCTTCATTTTCAGAGGCATGACACTTCACTTTCAATACCAAGTCAAAAGTTCTTTCTGGATTTTCCCTAAAATAAAGAGAATCTTGTTATATTTACTTTGCACAGCAAACAAGCATTACCTATAAAACTTCTATACAAGCATGTCTCTGTACACGTGGACTTTTGTGGTACTAAGGCTCGAACCCAGAGTCTGTTCACGCTAAGGAAGAGCTCCATCCTCTGTAATTTACTGAATTCTAAATCTAGTCCTTTTCCTGCCTCAGTGGATTTGATGAGGCTACATGACTGTGTAGCAGAAATATAAATGATAATGTTTTATCAGTTTGATAAGGGTTGAAGTTCAGACTTTGGAGCTCTGAATCTGAGGGCAAAGTATTTCATTCACCTCTGAGATTACTTCCTCTCCTATAATGCACCGTCTACTTCACAGAGTAACCGTAAGGATTAGATATCAAAAGAATAATGTGAAAGTTCGTTAGAGAGTAGTAGTTTTCATCTTATTGACTCAAAACTGGAAAGCCAGTGCATCTCTAAGTGTCTTCTCACACTGCCACAATGCTAACAGAGGCTCTCAGGCTTTCTCCAAAGCACCTGCCCTGAGTATAAAGGATGAAATCCTGATTCCACCTGCCATGTTCTAGAGACTATCACAGAAAAAAGCACCATGGATAGGATGTTTTGCAATGCTTTTCCTGAGATGTTATTTACTTAAGCATGTTCAAAGTAGGAAGCTGTTCACACACTCCAAGCTAACAAATCTTAACAAAAATTATTTTCTTTATACCATTTTCTTTAATGAACTTGGACATTTTCCTCCTTGTTAAATCTTTGACCAAGAATAGAAAGTTTACTTCACTTCCTTTAGAAGTTACTTTGTTTTTTTTTCACCCTAATTTCTTACACATTTAACCTATTTATTAAATTTCAAAAAGTGGACTGAAATCTACTGGGATACTTAAAGCAAACAAAAATTTGCTCTTGTAATTTCTCTTTCCATGAGACAGTGTAAGGTTAAGTCTGGGGATGTAGCTCACCAGTACACAGTATCTGCCCTAGAGTGCCTGAAGCCTTGGGTTTGGTCATGATGGGGTGGGGGATGGGGGGTAGTTGTTAAAGGTAAAAACATCACAATGCAAAAAAGTGATGACATATATTTCAATTACTTCTGCTATGACTAGTGCCTTTGTATATTGGCTTTTTTAACATATACTTTCTTAAGATATCAATGCTATTCCTCACTTCTAAATAAACATTGATTTTATATATATGTGTGTGTATATATATATGTATGTATATATATATATATATGTATGTATATATATATATATATATGACACCCATTTAGAACCAGAGGCCATATAAATTAACTTACACTTAAGTTAAATAAACACTTCCTCATTCCACCCACTATTAATTTGTTTCATGGGCATAAAATGGGCTCTGGTGAACTTTTTTTTTAATCCCCTCATAATACAATTAATTGTCCAAAGAGTATGCTTTTTTTTTTTAACTCAACCTGCCCTCCATGGTGTCAAACACTCAAGGAAATATTCTAAAACTGCATAAGGCTTCTATTTCCATAAGCTGTTTAAAATTAGTCTTAGGTAGAAAAGCTAAATACTGACTCAGTTATACTTCTCTACAATCCAAGGGGCCTTTCTCGGTGGCATAACAAATACATCCAGACTGAGGTAGAACAGAAGGGGAGGGAGGGAGGGGGCGGTAAAAGACGGGATTTCTTCCCAAAGTAAAGTTTCAGAAGGAAAACAGCCATCACCCATCTCCAAGACACCTCGAAGCCCAGCCACCACCGTTATTCAAATGGCTTTCTACCTACTCCCCAGAAGTAAAATGGCCAATGATGAAGAGCCACCTTGGGGCATCTACCACTCTGCAAGCAGCTCACACAGGGCGGCTGTATAACCAGACGCCGCTTTCATTTCATATAAAGGGAAAGCATCAGAAAGCATCCCGGGGCCACCCTGGGAAACCACCCACCCGGGGGCACCGGCGACCCTGAACGCCGGGGGAGCGGTTTTCATAACAACCGCTCGCCCGCTCGTCCGCCCGCCGGCTCGCCCGCTCGTCCGCCCGCCCGCCAGCCCCGGCGCTCGGCCGACCGGGCCCGGGGAAGCAGGGTCGCGGGGCGGGCAGGCTTTGCGGCCTAGCGCCGACCGCCGCGCAGCCAGCCGTCCCGGGCGGCCAGGCCGCACCCCGGGGGCCGGGGAGGCCGGGCCCCGGCGGCGCTCACCTGGTCCTGCGGTCCATGGTCACATGTCGCTGCGGGGCCGCCGTCGCCCCGCGCCCGCACGCCCGCACGCCGCCTGGGACGCGCTGCTGAGAGCGGCGGCCGGCCCACGGCGCCCTCCGCGGCCTCGCGGGGACAGCACCGCGGTGGCGACGCCGCCCCCGCCCCCGCCCCCCGCCTCCCGGTTCCCGCGACCCGGCCGGCGGCTACGGCGGCGGCGGCGGCGGCGGCGGCGGCGGCGGCGGCGGCTCGGCCACCTTCGGCGAACCAGGAAGTCGGCGGGAGGGGGAAGGGGCGCACGGGGACGCGCCCTGCGGCTGCACCTGGCCGCGCGGCCCGCGGGCCCGACCGGCCCTCCCGCTGTCCCCGGGCACCGGTTCCCGCGGCCGCCGTCCTGGAAAAGCACTTCTCCGGTCCCCGGGTTCCCACATCCCGACTTCCATTCGCTGCCAATTCAGAGCGCTGGTGGATGCGCCCGCGTCTGCCTCGCGCCAGCTGTGGCGCGGGGTAGGGCTCTCTGGAAGCCAGAGCCGCCCCCTCCTGATTCAGGAATGTTCAGGACTTAGGCACCTGCTGAACAGCCCTGCCAAACCGCTCAAGGATAGGCTCCAGTTGCCTGCACATATGGGAAACACATTCCGGGCCCCAGTCACTGACGCGTAGCCAAAGACTTAACTTGGGAACACGCAGTGGCAGCCCCCCTAGAGTGTCGTTCTAGGAAGCTCAGAGGGCACCACGGAGGATGGAGGAGGTGGGACCTGATTTCCAGAACTCCAAAGCCTGTGTTCTGTTAGGCGGTGATGAACATTGGCTCGGCGGAATGCCCCACACCCGAGCTGTAGGTGCCTTAATCACCACCTCACAGAGCAAGAGACTGGGACTAAGATAAGCAGTGAGCAGTGGGAAAGCTGGAATCAAACCAAGCCCGTCCGCTGCTGATTCTTTACTGTGGCTTCTTATTGCCCCTTCTTCCGCTGTCTCAAATTCGGGATCTGTTAAGAGGACGTTTAGAAAAATGTATGGTGGACGTTCAAAACAGGGGACTGGGAAAGGCCTTCTCCCAGATAGCACTCACCCTTGACAAGGCTAGAGTGACTGTCATCCATGGGGGTTGCTTCAGACTGTATCCACACAGAAGGTACAAGAATGAGGAAACCGAGTGTGGTATGAATGTGGTGTATGAGTCATGAGACATAAAAGTCTGACTAGGAGCCTTGGAAAATAAAGAAGAGATTTGATCTTAAACTTGCCTGTCAAAAGTGGTGTTGCCATCAGCATAGCAAGACATGCTCCACAGCCACAAACTTCATTGTTTAAAATTGAGATCCCAATGCCATTGGCAAACAAAACAAAAAGGCACTGTCTTTGTGCAGACTGTCTTGTCACGACTTGACTTGGTGTGGGATGTCTAACTTCAGTTTCTCGCTTCCTACATTTGTAAAATGGGAATTATCGCTTGTATAGCACGAGGCGTGCGTTGTTCAAATTTAAAAGTGCTATGCCCCTTGTGAGACATTTGGAGAAATCATTCAGTGAGTTTCAATTTCACAATTAGGCCAACTGCACCATGTAATTTTGATTTTCCCATATCAAGTTTTCTCCTGCCTAACAAGTTAACATACTCCCAAAGACTTGAAACAAATTCTGAAAACTAAAAACCACTTTGCCCCAAGTGTTACTGAAATGTGTGAGTTTCTCCTTTCATTATAATTAATTCTTCTCAAAAAAAAAAAACCCTACATCAAGTACCTGCGTCATGAATTCTCAGTCTGGGGTGAGAAAACAGTAACAAATATTTTCACCATCCACTGTTGGGATTATGTAAAGTGATAGTCATACCACTGTATACCATAAGATTGTTACTTACTCAAACTGCACTAAGTGTATGAAAACAAAATTCCACACATATATACACCAGGCCAATCCTTTTTGAATCACATTTGAGGCCAGCTACAATGAAGAGTTTGATATTATTGAGTTTAATAAACACAGAGGGATATGATTTATACGCATACTTTGTCAAAAATTACTGGAGCAGGAAGTTAAGATAAAGCTATCGTGGTATGTTTACTAAAACCAATGGTATAAACTTGGTAATGCTTGCTTCATATAACACTTACAGTATTACTAATAGAAACTTATTGAAGGCAAACCTTCAAACTGGCTGCTACATTTTCCCAAGACCATATTTCAGCAGTAACATTTCCTACTTGACAATAACATTTTTAGAATCATAATAATCCAAGAACAAGGTATATAATAGTATTGTCAAGGAGCACATACAGGACCAGGCTGTAGGTCAGTGGTAGAGCACTTGCCTGCCATCTACAAGGTCCTGGTTTGATCCCCAGCACAGGAAAGAAAGAAGAGAAATAAATTCTTCAGCTCATGGATGTGGTATTCTAAGAATATGATCTTGATAGTAAGTGTGTTGATATCTACTAAGTTTGTTTCTGCTTGACACAATTCAATAATAGGAGAAGTGAATTAAGATACCCTAATATATCAATAGCACTGTCCATTTCTTTTTTTTTTTCCCCAGAGCTGAGGACCGAACCCAGGACCTTGCACTTGCTAGGCAAGCACTCTACCACTGAGCTAAATCCCCAACCCCAGCACTGTCCATTTCAACTTACAGTTCTGTCTTTTTTTTTTTTTTTTGCTTTATATACCTTGTGACCATGTTATAATAGACATTCCAGTTCGTAAGTACTGAGTCTACCCAGTAAAGTGAACCATTTCTCATATGTTATGACGCTTTTGCCTTCAATGTTCATTTTTGTTTGTTTGTTTGTTCTAAATAGTGGTTTCCTGGCATCAGTCTACTTCTTTCCACCTTTTACACAGCAACTTTCTAAACCATTGTTTGGGGTTTATCTAACAACTTTTCTTCAAAAACTGCTTGTGCCCACTTTCCTCCAGCTACACCCACATGGTCTCTGGCTGATAGTTACTACCTACTGGTGACACGAAAGAACCCAACCAGCTGGGTCATCTAGTGAACCAGCTGCTCTGTTTCCCAAAGTACCTATAACCACAGAGGTCAGCACTTACGTGGTTTATCCATGTTGATTTAAGCCTTGGAAGAAAAACTTATTAGTATGCGAGTGTACTCCCTGCCAGTCCCTTCCCTCTGGAAAGAAAGACACTGCTATGGATTCTCAAAGATATTTAGAAAATAATTGAGTTATAGTGTAGTCCAATCATCTTGGCTCTTAGAATAAGTTTCTATTATCCTTGCTATGAACTCTATTTATTTCTGCCATTTAATGTACTTTCCACTGATTTCTCCTTTCCTCTGCCCCTTCTCTTTCAGCTTCTTTAGATTCCATGACATTTTTTATGTTTTTGTTTCTGGCCTCTTACTCTGGGAAGTAATGGACTCTGTTCATTAACTAGACACATATTGACTGTGGGCCTCCTCGGTTTATATCAAAGTTTGAAGTTTTAAATAACTAACTTAGGATCCGGTTTTTAGAAGTACCCCTGCTCGTCAACTGTATTTGGTATTTGGCACATTTCCAATCAGCCATTCTCTAGAATCTAACTCTCCATGGCTTCCTATTATTATTCTTAGGTTAAACTTTTTAATAGTATTTCAATATTCATTTATTGTGAAAAAACTTCTTTCAACAAAATACCCAACAAGTCAAATTTCTTTTTAAAAATTACCTTAAAAATATTATTTCTTAGCTGGGCGGTGGTGGCGCACGCCTTTAATCCCAGCACTCGGGAGGCAGAGCCAGGCGAATCTCTGTGAGTTTGAGGTCAGCCTGGGCTACCAAGTGAGTTCCAGGAAAGGCGCAAAGCTACACAGAGAAACCCTGTCTCGAAAAACCAAAAAAAAAAAAAATATTATTTCTTGACCGGAAATGATGACCAGTGACTTTAATCTTAACACTAGGGAGGCAAGGACAGGTGGAGCTCTATGAGTTTGAGGCCAGACAGACTACATAGTGAGAACTTGTTTCATTTTTTTTTTTAATTTCCAACTTGAGTTTTAATGTTAACTGAGACAGTGTTGACAAGGGAAAACATTCTTCTAGTGTCCCCATCATACTCTACAGTAGTATCATACATTCGAATCTAAAGGTAAAGTCTCCTTCAATAAGATATGTGTACTATTGAAAAAGAAGCCAGAGGGGAGAATGCAGGAGCAGTATCTTTACCAAAATCATGCTTTCTATGTTGATTTAAAAGTCAAGTTCGCCGGGCAGTGGTGGCGCACGCCTTTAATCCCAGCACTCGGGAGGCAGAGCCAGGTGGATCTCTGTGAGTTTGAGGCCAGCCTGGGCTACCAAGTGAGTTCCAGGAAAGGTGCAAAACTACACAGAGAAACCCTGTCTCGAAAAACCAAAAAAAAAAAAAAGTCAAGTTCAAAGGTACCTTCCAATTTATAGACAAAAATGCCACAGACGAATTTTGAAATCTTTATTACCAAACCTGAACATAAGCAAATAATTATAAAAATTTAATGGTAAGTTATATTTATTTAGCTGTTAAACTTTTAATAAAAATGTTCTCAAAAACCATATAACAAAACATCTTCTTTGCCCTTCTCCAAGCAATGTGTCCCAACTTGTAAAATAAATTATCTTACCTCTGACCAGCTTCTGCTAGTTCACACTTATCTTCATTCCTCAGCCTGACAGACATTGGCAAATTTAAAGCAGTCCTTGGGGTCAAGAGCAGAAGGGAAAACAGTAGGACCAGGAGACTGTAATCAGAGGACTTGGATTTCTTCTGGGACTCTGAGAAGTCTTGCTTGAACTTCAACAAGCAGTACAATGTTTGTGTAACCCTGTGCACTGCATGGGCAGCAAGCTCCTGACCCCACCCACGAGCTACTCCACATAAATAAAACATCATCATTGTGTGACAGCCCTGCTCACACCCACTGAATGCTATAATGGAATGAGTAATCACATCCAAAGAACAATGTCATTAGAATTTACTGGAAGGACTCAGAAGAGACTATCTAATATGGTACTGTGATCCAGCAAAGTCAGCAACCCCTATAAACAACCCTAATCTTGATGTAAAAGAAAAGTTCCTGCTTGCCAAGTTCTTCTTTCCTAAAATATAATCATTAGACAAACATGACACGCG